TACGAACAAAAGTAAGAGAAATTTAGGATAAGAATACGAACATGTTCTTGCATGAGGCCCAATATTTCTAATTGCCCCTCGGAGATGAATACAGTTTTTTTTAATCTGAATACACGATTTTACCCATTTTGTCACATTACTGGCATATCTGGCTCAAAGTGAAACAGGAAGTGACATCAAAGGGGAACTCTTAAAGAAAACTCTCTGATCTTTACTGAAACAGTTTTATTTTAAGTCCAACTCTTAATAGTTTAAAGTACAACCAGACTGCTCTCTCCAATCTATTTTGTTAGTTACTGTTTACATGCGTTCCCCTTTGACATCACTTCCTGTTAGTGCACGTCTCAACAACCGTTCATCTCAGCAGTGTGATTTTTACTTATTTTCTTACATGTTATCAGTATTCTTTCTAAAAATGCGCTCATATTTATTACAAAGAATTTCATGTCACAGGCACTTTAACATATAATAGCTTGACAGATCATCATAATACTTTAGCTTTTGTGGTTGTAATTTCACTTGYTAGCTTAAGAACTATTCGGACAGATTATAATTAAACTTTCAGACTGTGTGTAAATCTACAACTGAMRCAAAATGGAGAGGTGTCAAATGGAAAGGACGGATGACTTTCACTTGCAACCAAAACAAAGTCACGCCCATACTGTCAACATGCTCCAGGAGATGTCCAACAGGTACTATGAGTCAGACGAATTACATACATTTCGCTAAATGCTGATGTCCTTCCGCCTGGGACTAGAATTACAGTTCAAGATTTAAAAAAAAAGAAAAGAACTCAAATATATAGCTAAGTTAACTCGATATTTACAGCGCTAATCTCTACAGTCATTTCAAGTTAGCTAACTTGACATTATTTTAATGACACACTGATAAACAGTCATTTTAAACAATGACCTACACTTCTGTGCCACAACACTTAGTTTTGTGGGCAGGCATCCATCAAACATAAACAGATTTTAGCTTCGTTAGCTAGTGGTCCGAGCACCGGTCCACAGAAACAAACCGAGCAAACCTGGGCCTGCTGGGCTGACTGCGCATTCCTTTGAGGCGACTGCTCCTCGTTTATCTTCTGCTTCAGTTTTTTAAACATCTTGTCCCGCCGACGTGGCTAACAGCCGGGCAAAAGACGTCGAAGATCCGTCGGTGAAATATGTGTTTTTACAGTCCCAACATCCAGTCGCCCAGGGCCAAGACTTCCGTGCTCGCTGTTCCAGCAGGTGAGGAGGCGCTCTGCGCATGCGCGGCCAACGTGGAGGAAAACTGAAACGTCAGTGTTAAAGAGCCAGTTTGGGTTAAATTTGCCCACAGCGCCCTCTATAGGAAACAAGGAGAAACTCAGCATCTCTGTTGTATTGAACAGAAGATGGCACTGGTTWAGCAGGATTTTAATGTGATTTTACCTCGTGCCTATTGAAAGCAGAATTAACCAGAATTTGACTTGCATGATCGTGTCCTTTTTAAGATTGAAAGTAATTTTCCCTGCATGAAAATAAAGTACAACGAAACAAAATCTGTAATAATACCCGATCCGGCCCATCTTCTTTAGCTGTCCCATCCATCAAATCTTTTAGACAGACCTCCTTCAGTTACACGCTAAAGCATGGAATGATCGCCCAACGTATACAGTCAATACATTTTAAAAAGACTTTCTTTCATTTTGCTGTTTAGTACAAAAGCCCATTTCTGCTTTGTTTTGTTTTTATTAGACCATATTGATTTTTTTTATTGAGCACTTTTCCTTTTCCTTTTCTCTCAGTGTTTTTTTTAACATTCTGTTGTATTGGATCATAATGAAATAAGTGTTCTCACTTTCTTGTGTTGTCCTAGTACAAATGATGGATTTACTATGTGTGTATACATGCAGTAGTATTGATTAATCAATCAATCAATCAATCAATCAATCAATCAATCAATCAATCAATATGAAAGATGCATTTTTCCTGCTACACCATCGCCTATGCCATTTTTCAGCATGCAGAGCTGCTAAACTTCAACCATATTTGTACCATAAATACAGTAACTCTTCTGTTGCCTCCCTTTTGAATATTTTGTCTTCTCTTTACAATAATGGTTGTAGAACTAGAAGTATTTTCCCAAAGAAATACCACACTGAATTGACAAATTTGTTGTTTTTTTTCCTTATTTGAATTGTTTAATTCTTCCACATGTAACTAAGTTTAGTATATCAAACAAATGAATCAATGAAATCTGCAGAAAACCCATTTTTATTGGTTGATAACTATGTTTTAATGGGCTTTCATTTCCTGCTGCATATGAAGCATTTAGTTTATAAAAGTTTAATGACTGCACTGAGTTCAGATACTGTTTTAGGCTGGAAATTGTCTTTACAGCAGCAACTATATGCAACACATTAACACATATCAAAGGGGTTATATTTTATTTGTTTATTATTTTTTAAAGCTTGTGCACTTTGATTGGTCACATGAATCTCATATTGATACATTTCTAAAAATAGAATAATGTGTGCTTGCTCTCTATTTGCTCTCCATCTGAGTCATAGGGTCCTTGGGTAATATAATAAATACAGCAATAGGCAGTTACGTTGATGGAGAAGATCACATAGGTATGAGTCACTGTTTCAACATGTGGTATATTCCCTGCTTTGGGGTCTGGCCATGTGCAGATCTCTGAGTCAGAATTGTGTCTTCTTTTTTTTTTTTAAAGAAGCGAGTCTTGTCATTTTAAGCCAAAAAGCCATTAAAATGATTTACATTATGACTTGAACGCCTTGGATTCAGCAGGGTGACTCAGCAGTCAACCATCTGAGATCAGGGTTGATCTCTGATGACACAGTGAGCCCAAACGATGGGTGGTTAACGGCCAAGTGAAGCAGCTCCCAGTATTCTACTCAGCARCCGGAGGGATTCTGCTCAGGAGGATTTGACTGCAAATGAAGGGAATCAGCTGCCGAAACGCCACAAGCAGTGGTTTTTTTTTTCTTTACGGACCATCAAACAGTCACAGAGCTGTGTTGTTTGTRACGGGTCCTGAGTGGGTTTACTGCWGCCTGGAAAGCAGACYTAAATTTCATTTTAAGCACCTGGAACAGGAGTAAAACTCTATTATGGCACAAAATGGGCAAGAAGATTTTTTGCAAGTTTGGGCATGATTTTCTTCCAACATGACTGCAAAGGTCAGCTCAAAAACTATAATTCATTATTTTAGATTCATTGCTGACAAATAAGAAGAGAAATCCTCCTGATGTCATACCTGCATCAATATTCTGTATTGTTTAATTTACAAAGTCTCACAAAGAAAAGTGAAAAATTGCAACTATAAGTCAGTATATATATATATG